GAAAACTCCTTAAAAAAGCTTTTCAAAGCCCAACTCTCATGCCATTAGAAAGAGGATCATGAAAAACCTATAAAAAAATGGTTCATGAAATTTCAGTTCATTCATAAAGCTAAAGTCCACCTGCTCTAGCAAAAAATGCCCACTGTGCAATGTTAGCGAACGAGAGCATGAACTGCATGCGACGGATGGTGATACTACAAAGTGAAATGACAGTAGGATTAGTTGTAAATGAGGCAGAATTAGGCGATACTGAGGCATTTTTAATAATTGATGATTGTGGAGTAGAAGCTAATGGTAATAGAATATTTGATGCTAATGGTTTGGGCGTTAACAGACTACTTAGTAAATATATGGATTTCGTACCACTTTTTCAATCATTGTATTCTCGTTAAATGACCATATTCTACAATGAGCAAAGGACGACACTATACGAGTTGATGAAAATGCGTTTAAACCATCGTATAAAAGTTTTTTCATTTATCCACGAATAGCAGCCTTGTTATGTTTTTTACGCTTTGGTTGTTCATACAATGGATAGAGAACACAAATTGCAAGACTCAGTTGCTGACTCTTTTTCTGAGCTAAGTATGGATTAAATTCCATCTTTATTTCTCCAGATGGGACTTATCAAAGATTAGAAAAACTTGATAGTAATAAAGCTCCGTCGCTCAGGCCAACAAACAGAACGCTGAGAAATTTAGCACCATCCATTACTTCCTGAGTAATTCTTTTGGCACTCTCCTACACTTTACATGAACATCTGCTGCAGAGATCACGACATATCTCATTTGAAATAGCATTTAATTGTGAGTAAGAATGCGTCATTTAAAACATTTTAAGACATTTTGTAGAGAAATGAACGTTCTGTCTAATGGTATGTTTAGAAACATTTTCGATCTACTTTGCAGTTGACAGATTTTTTAAAAAAAAATCTGGAATTTCAACGACCTATATCTCAGAAAGTGGGGATAAGGTATTGGGGTCTCAGCTGATATATATATTTCAAAATGTGTAGAGTCCGAAAATCTGCATTGGAGGCAACAAAAATAGGAAAAATGTGGTTAAAAGTAACTTGTAAGTAACATATATTACTTTTGAGTTTAGAGCTCGATCTGATGGTGAAAAACGCATTTCAATACGACGAATTTTCATGATTTTCACCATCTTAGAACAAGTGCAGTAGCGAAATGAAGCATTTTAAAATGTTTTTAAATGAGCCATTCTATTTCTTATTGATCTAGTCTATATCATAAAGCGTTTAGGTTTATCGCTTTTGTCATTTCTGAGATATTTAGGTATGAATTGTGTCTTGGAACCTAAAAAATCCCCAAATGTCGGACTTTCCCAGAACCCTATGCCGATGTTTTAAAATTTTTTAAATGACGCATTCTTACTCAGAATTAAATGCTGTTTCAAATGAGATATGTCGCGATCTCTGCGGCAGAATTACCGAAAGAATTACCCCCTGTATTATTAGTGTCGTTCATCAGTCTTTGAATACTGAAGGTTTTTTCTTCTCTATGGGAACAAGACTGTACCACTGCTCTTTTTCAATCTGGTGATGCTTTAGATCCCAATAACTACAGACCAATCATTCTCTACCAGCGATATCCATGGTAGAAGGATCGTCCACAGAAAATGTTTATAAATATTTAGTTAAAAATAAATTGCTAACAGTTTTCAGTCCGATTTTGTAGTCAAGAATAGTAAAATAAATCTTCTATTAGACGTTATTCATAAAATTAATACAGGAATGGAGCAAAAGGATTGTATGAGAGCTGTTTTGATAGATATTCAGTAAACATTTGATAATGCAGAGCAGCGTTTCCAAAATGGGGTTCCTTGAAGTGAAACCTGGGATTCCGCCAGCGAAATAAAAAAATAAGAAGACAAAAAAAAAAGATAAAAAAAACGCTGAAAAACACTTCTGACATACATTTATAGACAGAAGGAAAAGAAAAAAAAGCAAAAAGACTGCGTGCGTCCTTTGTGTATCGTTCTTTTCTGTTGTAGCGCAGCTGATAAAAGAAACATTTTACATGTAAAATGTATCTCTTTTGACCAAAGTTTTAATATTTACATTTGTTGCTACAGACCTAATACTTTAAAACAGGCATGAGCACACGCATACTAAGTTCAAAAAATCTCTTTTGTCTGCATTCGTTTTCAAATGCGTGTGTATGAAAAGTTGAAACCATATGAATAAAACAAAATATTCCATTCGAACACATACATGTCATGTGTAGTACGCACAATATTTTGTGTACGGTATATTCTCTCTCATGAAATTGAAGTGTAAAAATTTACACATGGCCAACTAGACTTTTTATAAAATAATAACTGTTAAGTAAATATAAATATCAGTTAAGTTTACGTGCATATAAACTTGTTCGGTACATTTAACATTCTCTGTAACTTATATCTGAGTTCGTGAAAACGGTCACAAATTTAAAATTTTTAATTTTAATATTTAGTTAGTTAGTTAATTTTAATATTTACCGAAAATCGACTTGACGCAGTTCCAGACATGAGAATCCAATTGTCAGCTATAGCTCCAATGCCAGATATGAAAAGAATTTACCAAAAAAAAAATATTTTTCATTCTTCTCATTAAAAAGTATGTAATTTACTCGTGTTTTTAAAGATAAATATAATAAAAAATGAATCAAACACCCTCTAATTATAATTTTATTAAATAATCTATGTTTTCCGATATTTTTGTAGCTCCATATTATTAGGTATTATGCATGATATTATGTCAAAATACTACTGGGGTTCCGCAAAGTTTTAAATTTTATGAAAGGGTTCCATGGCTAAAATAAATTGGGAAACGCTGATGTAGAGTTATTGCTAAAGTATTCTGGATTAAAGGCGTTTGACTTCCTTCTTTTCACCTTTTGTAAATGAATGAAACTAACTACCTAATAATTGCAGAACATGTTTGAGTATAAAATCTTTTAAAAATACACAGTTATACTATAATTTATATAGACGATAACTTGCCCTATTGGCTAAGTGTATCTGTGGAGGAGGAAACGGAACAATTGAGCACTATCTCTTGTAGTGTTCGGTATCCATACATCGAGCTAACCTTTTTGCAAAACTAAATTATCTGAACACTAAAAACACAGTTAAAATATTATTATCCAGTGATAATAGTCTTGATCTGGATAGTGTACAACAAATTATAAATGTCCTTGGTTCATACTCAGATGAAATAGACCGGTTTAGACATAGAAATAGCGCTTTGAGAATTCTGTAATGGCTTGTTGTGGTAATGGCAGCACAGAATTTCTATAGAGCAACGTGGTTCGTCATGGCGACGCACATTTATTCAAAATGCATAGCATATTAAACTCTCTTCAAACAAAAACTTTCAAAAAAATCTAGTGTCATCACTTTACCTTGTAGACTGCATTTATTTCAGAACTGACATTTTTTGTTTTTCTTGACTCTGCGGAGCTCTTTTGTATCGCACTTCCTCATAGAGCAGTAACTCTTCTCTTTGATTAGGCAAATAAACTCTATCGAACAACGTAAGAAAGAGATCAATTTTGAAATAGACTTTTCTTTTGTATGATATATAAAGAAAGGCCCATAAAGAATTGAGCTTTTAGTATTTTCAAATTTTCTCCTCTTCTTGCACTTGATTGAGCTAGTGTTTTTTATCAGATGATTCCCCGTTGAATTCTCTACAAAAAATGTATTGACTGCTCTATTGCAAAATCCGAAGGTGCAAAATGCCATGAGAAAATGTGAGAAGTACAAAAAAATGTAGAAAAAGTAAACGTATTTTCTCAAAGAGAGCAAAATTTTTTCAATGGTGTCACAAGCATTAAAACACGGTTTCAGTATATTTTTGTGTAGTTTCAAATAAGCTCTTTCTTCTGGTGTAGAGCGAAAATTGTTTGAATCTAAATATCCGACGCAAAGATTAACTTCTCAGCAATCAAGTGAAAATAGCAAAAGTTGTTATCTTTATTTTGCGGGGTGGAAATAACAAACCAAATTTGTTTTCCAGATCTTAGAGATCCGATCATAACGACTAATCATTTGTTTTCAAAATTAAAGAAATCAACCTGATTGGATCTAGTTTGACTAAGCTTTATTTGTTTTATCGGAAAAATAATGAAATTCTTGCGCCCTCACAATGGAACGGTTTGTACTGTCAAGCCGCTTTCAAGTTCGGAGCATGTGTATTAGATAGACACCGGTGAGGTATAAAAAACCCCAAAAGTCTATGTGCTGACGGGCCTTCCCTCCAGAGTTACAGTCATTATACTGAAATTTTAGCCTATTGCACGGTATCTACCAAAAACACCAATCACGATATTTCGACCTGAAATTTTGCCCACAAGTAGGCCTACTTGTAACTAGAATGTTCTGCAAATTTCAGTTCAAAAGAATGTTCCCTTCTTGAGATATTGAATTT